AGTATGGCCATAAGAGGTGAGACTCTGGCAGGTCCCTCTTGATAGGGAGCCTTTGTCTCTCATGGTTGGTGCTTCGCTCACTGGGGGCCTTTTCTTCTTTGTTAGTCCACTCATAAAAAATGCATTTTTAAAACATTTATTGAGGCTGTTGTGATTTGTGATTGTACATAATTACTGGGTGTCATTGGATTTACTAGCTGTATCACAGCAGTTCTTAATATACCCCACTAAAGGGGGCTGTGGGGTGGTGTGTGTGTGTTTTTTTAACCTTTAGTGCTGCCAGAAAACACTTCCATGGAAGCTTGTCAGGGACTCACTCATCCTGGGACTTCGTCTTTACCCCACATTCTGTTCTATCACATTGTTTTATTCATGGAGATGGTTATGATGAACATTTGCTTGTTGGTCACAGGTGTGCCTCAGGGCATGGCTGTCAGGCCGTGAGATGTTTACAAACACAACATACACTTTAAGTGGCATTTCTTTTGCAAGAGTCCTTTTGCAGTGATAATGCAATTACAAGTAATATCACATGCTGCTGGACAATGCCACACCCATTACAATTCTGTGCTGGAAAGGAATACCAGCTAATATCTGCCAGAATTCACCAATAGGCTACATATGTATTTTTGCGTGGCAGACACCTATTTTGCCATTTCATTAGTATCACGTGCACTGCAGTGGCTTTCAGCACCTACACGAGGAACACCTACTTGCAGGTTTATATTTCATGATGGACGTGATCGACATTTCAGCATAGGGGGCTGCAAATGCCAATAGCAAGAGCAGTGTCTGGTGACAAATAATAGTGCATTGTTGAAGCTGTGAGATGAAGACTTTACAGGAAATCCCCATCATATTATCAGTCTTCTCCCAGCGGAGCACTTTTGGTTCCAGTTTGATTCCACATTTTGGGCTATATTCTCTCCTCTTGCAGTCTGTGGAAAAAGTGCTTTGAAATCTCTGCAAGTTAAAATTTGTCAAGTTTCAGAGCTATGCTACTCTATTCAAGTTCTTATTGCATGCCCATCACCATGGTATCCAAGCCATTTCTCCATTCAGGGCTAGGGCCTTGTGCTCATGTTGTATGAATAGAGGGTCTATCCACATAGATCTCATCCGGACAAGCTCAACTATGTTGCCATTGGCTTCCCAACTGCAACTGACATCTCTCCCCAAGCAGGGAAGAAGCCATGAATGGGGAACTAATGCTACACTTGATTCCCAGGAATTAAGGCATTGTAAAATAAGAACAGTAGCCTGAGCTAACAGATGTGAATGACTGGAAACTGATGCTGTTGGCTCTTGGCTAACATGGCCATTTTAAAGGAAGCACAAGCATCTTTCGTTGGGTAATTGTTCCCTTCTAAATTCAGAAACAAAACTTCTGAAAAGACTCACCAATAAACAAACATATAGATTGCCCGATAAATGACATTATGCTGATTATTGTATTTGACTTGGTGCACCTGGGGTACTAAATACAAATGGAGAGATACAGCATTTGACCATCCCAGTGTACCAGCCTCATAAGACTGAGCTTGAAGTTAGCCTCAAGTCACCAGTCCTGTAGTCACTCTGAAGCAGGCAGAGCCTGTTATGTACTACTGCACCAGATATGGACTACAGAGCTTGCTTATACACACCAGATATGTTCATGATAAGGTATTTTAATGCTCTTCCAGGTACAGCTGAGGTTCCTTTAAATAGGACATTTTAGATACATTGCCACCTACTGGTGGAACAGTATAATGCAGCTTAGTATTCTATTACAGAGCCAATGAAATTCAGGTAACCCATTGTTTCATGTTCTCTGTGTATATAAATCTCCCCACTGTATTTTCCACTGAATGTATCCAATGAAGTGAGCTGTAGCTCACGAAAGCTTATGCTCAAATAAATTGGTTAGTCTCCAAGGTGCCACAGGTACTCCTGTTCTTTTTGCAAATACAGACTAACACGGCTGCTACTCTGAAACCTGTCATTATGCAAATCAGAGACCAAACCGTAATCTGAGTTATTAAATATATTTGTGCATTTCCCATTTAATAAATGTTTCACATTAAATGATTCCAAACACCTCCCTTCAGCATCCTAGTCAACCATTCACAGGGCAACCAATTTTTTCTGAAAGGATTAATCATGATTCAGAAAGCTATAAAATGCCAGGGACTTATGAATTAACTGATAGTGATGGTTTTGTTCGGCTGTTAGCTGTCAGCGTTTCTACGCCCCCATTGCACTGTGTCATTCATATGTATTTAAATATTTTCAGCCACTGTATAATGACTGTAGGGTATAAGCTGTCATTGCTTCTCCAGTTCTTCTGTGTTCCCATGTCCTCCAATTCTCTCACTACTCTTTCTTTCTGCCCCTCACTTCTTTGATTCTCCTTGCATTTTATTCTTGTCTCAGTTCTATCCATGTCGGAACTAAAATCTGCCCATCCCCTTCCTTGTCTTAATTTTACCTTTCACTTTGCCTCTGTCTTCACTGATCAGCCCCCAATCATTATTGAATTTACATTAGAAATATGGGTGCGATTTCCTTAAGAGGTAACTTGAGGTGAACCACACCACAGAAGTGCCAGTTGTGACATATGCCATAAGGAACTGGAACTAGGCATCAAGAAGCATGGATACTATGTTCCCTTGGAAATCCAAAGTCAACTGGGCCACCTGTTTCTTATCTGTGTCCTGTAGGATTGATACATTCCACATGACTTTGAGACCCCCTAAGGTCAAATGCAGCTCTGATTAGAAAAGGAAATGCAAGTGTGAAGCTTGTCTTAGTCTCTGGTGGAGAGTAGCTCACATCACATAATTATCGCACAATTGGGCCCATTAGGAGCTTCTGCTCAGGATGAACTTGTTATTTTTAGATTCCATCTACAGTTTCATGTTGGATATTCATTAGTCCAACTCAGATTTATATTATTAAGGGCATTAAACATTTGAGCTGTGCAGTTACCCATCACTTTACAGATCACAGATAAGACACATTCCTTGCCCCCAAGACAAGAACTATCAGGCATAGAACAGCTGTTAACCTTTAATGAAAAGATACATGTAAGATAGTTACATCAACAGGTGCTAGAGTAAAGGATAATATCACATTCCAAAGTAGCATAGTGGAGCAGATGGATGCGGCAGCTGTTTCCAGCTACCTTTTATGTCATCATTTTATAATTGCTTGTGCAATGCATTATTAAGGTCCCTCTTTTTTTATTAATGCAAGTCACAGTAAATGGATTCTATCCTATTTGACATCTCTGTGAACAGCTTACCAGGCTACCGTGCTTTTAAGTCCTTGAAGTACTTTACATTCCTCTGGTGTAGAGTTAGAGTACATAAGTAGTATTTGCTGTAGACAAAGGGCACAGAATCAGGGTTCCAGGAAGACAGTCTTATGAAAAAAGATGTAGTTGAGATTCAGAAAGGGACTTGAGAAAGCCCGTCCAACAAGCCAATTGTTTGGGAGATCCTCCAATCCTTCGGTCTTCCTTCACCCCATAGTCAGCATGTCTATGTTAAGTTCTAACTACTTTTTTAAAATTATCACCTTCAAAGCACCTTTCCAAAATAGTTACTTAAGCCTCACAACACCCCTGTGAGATGGAGAGGAAGAGAAATTGTTTACTCAGCTGTTAATGAGGGAAAACATTTTGTGATTTGCCAGTGAGAGAATCTGGGTTAAGTCTCAGGAGCTCCTGGCTCACAGGGCTGTGTTCAGATCACTAGTCCAAATCACCAACAGCACTTCTGTTATAGTTGGTGACACAATGTGTTAATGCATTAGCCAATCACTCTGGGATCAAATCCTGATTTCATTCACAAATGGGGTAAACTCGTAGTTCCTATTGTGAATGTTTACCCGCGTCATAAAGTAACCCCCAAGTTTTCCAAAACTGGTAGTCTTTGACCAAGAGTCTCAGGATTAGAATGCAGGAGTGTTGCAGATCATGGATTAGCACGGGGTAATTTAAGGAAATTTGTATACTGCTTATTCATAATAGGATTAAAGCCAAGCAGGCTATAAGGGCTTCGTTTTCATGAGCACTGAATTCAGACAGCATTACAGATCTTCAAGTTCATTAGGTTGGCTGAGCTATCGTCATTGGAAGGTACGGCTTCATTTTATCTTTAAATATTGGATCTAACTAATGGGTAGTGAAGGCAGAGCTTTAAGGATGGTCCTTTGCCGCGGCAGCACTTTAATGTTGCTGCCCCGTCTCCCGCCTCCCCCCATGTCGGCGGCCCTGCCGGTACGGACCCTACTGTATGAGAGCAACTTATGCCACAGCACAGTTGTATGAGTGCAGTAACTGATTTTACAAGATACAGGATGATATCCACTTCACCCACATATCAGAGTGCAGGATATATGGCCTGGAAGCACAGGGAAGTCTAAGTTCACAAGCATGCGTTTAGAACAATTTCAGTATTAGTCTTAACAACATGTGGTAGAAAAGGCCAGATTTTCAAATGTAGGCCTGGAGCTCATTGATTTGTTTTCAGCAAATGATGAAAAATATTCTGTTAATGTGAAATTCAGATCCTGGGCAAAGGGGCACTCCCAGGCCAATGCACGACTTACACTGTGTTGTGAGGGCTTAAGTGGTACATAGACCTTAGGGTGGTGGTCCTCTCTGGAAATGAAATTCATTGAGTGACATTGTAGTGAAGCACGCATAGTGGTGAGTTAGGAGCTGGTGTGGGGACAAATAAGTAGTGTGCCTCTGGGACGCATGTTGGATGTGGCATGGGTGGGTGCAACTAGGATATATATCGCCTAAACCTACTCATAGCTATTAATAACCTGGACCACAATTCCGTATATTAAGGTTTCTTTTGCTAAATGTTGGCCACTTAATCCAAAGGGAATCTCTTTCCACAGAACGCTTCTTTACTTTATTCCAACTGGAGTTAATGCTCAGCAAGTTCTAAAATCCTCCAGAGAACAAATAATAAAAAAAATCATACGGAACAAAAATGCAGCCAAAAGCTTTAAATTCATTTATTTATTTTCTCTTGTATAAGATCAAAGAAATAAAAACCAGAACCAAACTCTGGGTACAATAGTTTGGTCTGATTGATTCTGATGCATACCCTCTGTATGTAAAATAACCTAAATTAAAAACAACTGCTCACACATCATAACATACAACTAAAAAGTAAATAAAAAAAAAAGTTGAAGTACTAGCACATACATGGATGCAGTGTATTAAGAAACAGTTTGTTTCATCACCCATTTTCAAAAGACATTTTAAACCCTCCCAGCCCCCCCAAAACACCCCAGCATTTGTTTTCATCATCAACCCACCCTCCCCAAAAAGTTACATTCTAATAGTGTTATCAGAATACAAGTTGTAATTAACATCCTATTACTCCGTATCCGCAACGTTTATGTATGTCACACTCAGTGATGGTCAACAGTACAACTGTCCCACTAGCATATTTACTGTATTGAGACAAGTAGTGTGAATTTAGTAAAATAAATGTAATTTCACAAACTGAAATAAGAGTGAAATATTGTAAAAAATTTAATTGTTTCAATAGAATTACAAATACATATGCTTTTTGAATACTTATACTTCTGTCACAGCCTGTTTTTAAAGTCAGAAAACTCCTTGAAAGGAGGACTTCACAACAAACTGGATAGTATGGGGGTTAGGGAGAGTGTCTGTGCATGTGATCCAGCACATACTCTCTGTAGAAACAAGAATATGTTATGGTGTAAAAAATTACTTTATCTTCACCATCATTTGGTTCAGAATGAAAAAAGGTTTGACCTAACCTACGGGCAGTTGCTTTACAGTAGCAATAATATTTTACATAGCACCTTTCCATTCAACTCTGCTGCTGTTTTATTATCACAGGAATATGAAAACGATTACAAAATTTAATGTTTCTGGGCTTTATTCTCTTCCCTCGCCCCTCCCAACCTACACCAGTATACATGTGGAGAAGCAGGCACCAGCTTTAGAATTCTGATCTTTGTTTTTTATGAACAAAAAAAACAATTAAAAACATTGACTTACTAGTAAATGCTTACACTAATTTTGCTAAACTTTAATTATAATATTGACTAAATCATGGCAGGGTGCAGATCCCCTGGTGTAAATTGTACTAACAAGCCAGTAACTTCAATGGAGCTTGACTGATCATACAGCAGCTGAGGATTTGGCCTTAAAAAGTTTTACTATCAAAATCAGATACCATAAATCCCAAATTCTCTGACTATATAAACCATTTGTGTAACTAAAAGAACAAAACCATAGGACCATCTGATTTTCATTTAAGTTTATAACCTGATACACTTTAAAAAAAGATTCAAGATAATACAGTAATAACATTCAGCCCCATTCGGTCCTTTGTTTGTTCAGAAAGATAATTTCTAATATCTTAAGGCTTAGTTCTAGCATAAGTGGAAAGAAAAAAAAAAGTAAAACAATGCCCATTCAGCAATATTCTGTGCAGACGCAACTCTGCCTCCTCATCCCGTGTTATATTAAAATATATATAAAAAGAACTAGTCTTCTCTGTATAATAGAACTTCATTGGGTAGCTCTCTCCCCTCTCTTGCTTAAAAGACAAGACAGCTTCCATGCCACTGTGGTAACATGCAACCAAGCAGCTCTTCTCTCACAAGGAAGTTTCTTGTATTGAGTTCATGGTATGGTATTGTTTAAGTGAACACGGCTGGTTCTTCTTACATGTGTGTCCCTATCTGTAGCCATCCATCCCTCTCAGGTACTGTTATTGTTTTCTGTTACATAATCATTCACCTTTCCAATCTAGTCCATATTTCTGCCACTTCATCTCTAACCCTTTCACCTGCCTCTTTTCCAACAAGATAGAAAAAATCCTTTAGTGTCCAATACTCTGGTGCATAGATAGGATCTTATGGATTAGACCTGATAAACAGACATTTACACTGAGTGCTACATCTCTTGCTTTCCCCACATAAACTGGATCAAGCTCAGAGACTTGTATTAATGCCTTTCATAAACAGATACATTTTTTTTCAAAATAAAAAGCTTAAATTCATAGATTATAAATAATAATAGCTCAAAATACTTAAGAATTTCAGGACTTCATTTGCATTTCAGGGAAACTTTGCATACTTTCTGTCCTTGATGCTTTCTCAGCCCCAAACATTTGAAAAAGAAACCTTTATAGGATATACAGTAGATATGAATATACAGGATAGTATGCCATGTGTCTTGTATACCAACTCTAGCAAGCAACAAGTATTAGGATTTTAGCAACTTCACCAGACATACAGGCACCTGCCTGGTTATCACGGATCTGATAAAAGTGACCATCTGATTACAAGCATTCAGTTACCTGTAGGGTTTCATTGATACTGTCAGTTAAAAACCATTACTACTGAAAACAGGAAGAACAAGGCTTTTTTTTTTTAAACTGCATATGGTATTGTCAAGTTGTGCTAGTCTTTTCTGTCCTGATTTTTAAGTGTATTTTTGCCGTTGTCAAAAATAGTTGCCACAGATTTATTTTAAAAAATGCGTTCATGTATTTAGTTAAAAAATTGTAGTGCTTAATAAAATAAACATCAAAATCTAAGATGTATTTTTAAAAAATTACACGTTTATGACTTTTTTAAAGGTGGCAGTACCAGTCTGGTTATTTTACAATATTATCGTAGTGTAAAACCGTCACTGAACCACTCTGCTACTTTCAAATTAGAAGTATTTATCTGGAAGCTATACAGTAATATACTGAAAAATAAACTGCAATAGTACGGTTTGTGCCTTGGCAAATGTATAATAAGGATTAGTATGGTGGCTATGGAATCAGAATTATTCTGTATTCCATACTGCACAATCTTACTAATAATACAATGATTTTAAAGCTCAAAGCTCAAGTTAAATAGATAAAAAAGCATTTGGTACTATTGTCATAAATATAATTATAAAACTGCACTTGAGGTCTGATTCTGTGCAGGTATTTTTTTAACCAAGCTGCCTATGTGTGGTCAGCATTTTTGGTTCATTAAGAGTCATAATTTTAACTGAGAGCCCATGAGTTTAGTCATGGACACAGATCTCTATCCCATACTCTGCCCATCTGTGATTCCCATCCCCCCCAAAAGAAACACTTCTATATGATCTGTAAAGGAAACACAGGTTACAGATGTGTAGAAGCAGTTCTTGAAAAACAGAAAGAAACATATATTTTATATTTAAATTACTGTCAATCAAATTCAGGCACAGGTTAAATTGACCATAAAGGTGATACAGCAAGTCATTAAGTCAGCAAGTATATATCTGAAGATTTTCAGATGCTCTACCTCTATTTCAAGAGGGAAAGGAAATGTTGGCTTGTATTAAGGGCTGAATCAGCATTGAGTGATTATTGATTACAGCCAGGTGAGGAACGGCTCACTCTTGTTGAGTACGGATTCCACGTCATTGAGGATAGGGATCAGGTCTTCAGACTCTAAAGTCCCAAGATCTACATTTGTTCCTGGAAGACAGTCGAGGAAATCAGGGAAACGTGTCTGTTGTGAACTTACGTTCATGGGAGTCTGTGCCACAGTTTCGCCTGTAAAAGAAAGAAGAATCATAGAGGCGCTGGCTCCCTTCTAAAAATGATTCTAAAAAAAAGCACACGCTGAAATTTGTAGGCACACTTCCCCCGCACTTCTTGCAATCACCACATTACAGGTATCTTCTATAAACACTGCTGTCAAGCCTCCTTTGCTTACAGAAAAGCATATCCAGAGAAGGATTTCTCTTTTGTTGTGCTGTCAAAAGCACAAAAAAGTTCTTTTCAACAGTATTTGAATAATCAGCCTCTGTTCCCTCACTTAAGCAGTCAGTGAAATTCCTCCCTGTGCAGAGGGCTAATGGAGTCAAATCCCACTTAAGGACTGTGCTCTGGCTCTCTGCATAAGAGTGAATTTCATCCATAGCCCGCAGTTCAAACTAAGGCTAATGACGGTTTAACAGGGACTTTTCTTTGCAATGTTATTACTCTATTTTTTGGCTCAATTAACAATAATGAACAGTAAAATCATTAAGGGCATGACCGTGTACTCACTGCACACCCAGAACTCCCACTGATTCCAAAGGTAGTCTTGAGTCCCATTGACTTCACTGACTTATTTCAGTAGCTGGAGAGAACTGGTGTGTTTCCTAATAATTTACTTTCATCTTTTAAACAATGTGAAGATAGTAACTAAAAAAAAAATTCAATATCTAAATGAACTATGCACATGTTTGGAAAGGAAATCCCAATGCAATGGCTCTTCTTAGGAGATTGTTCTCATGACACAACGAATTCCCACAGAACTAGACAACGCAGAAATTTGGAAGAGCTAAAACCAATTCACCTAGGATTAGATTCTGCCATGCTTACTCATGTGGGGTAGTACTTTATTCCCTGAAGAATTCCACTGACCTAGTGCAGTCAAGTATTAGGCCAAATGAGTAAAGGAAGAATCTGGTCCTGAAACACTGCAAATCAAATCTGGGCCAGATACATAGGAAATCCTTCCAAAACTCACCAGCTCACTTTTGGGCTATATCTTCAATTTTCTGTCAGGGGGATTCACACACAACTCTCCACACTGACAGATGAAAAACAGGGCCCCTTATTGTGCTCCCTTTTTCAAGTTGCCACTGAAGAACTTGACCCTACACATTCCTTGCATGCCCCAAATTCCCACTGAAATCAGTGATTCATGTAGATCAAGATGCAGAACTGTGAGCTTGAATTGGCTGCTGTTTGTATTGGAGTCAGAATATTATGGCCCACATTGTGAATCACACCCATATATGAATAACAGCCCTGCAGCTAACCATACCAGTAATAAAGTGGAATCCTGAAATCACTAATACTGTTAACAGAAAAACTATAAGCAGAGTTCACTCTAACAACAACTACAATTTTTCATTTGCATGACCATGACCACAACCAAATACTGGGGGGAGGGAGAGCTCAGTGGTTTGAGCATTGGCCTGCTAAACCCAGGGTTGTGAGTTCAATCCTTGAGGGGGCCATTTAGGGATCTGGGGCAAAAATTGGGGATTGGTCCTGCTTTGAGCAGGGAGTTGGACTAGATGACCTCCTGAGGTCCCTTCCAACCCTGAGATTCTATGACCAGGGAAACAATAAGCAGGTGTTATTCTTCAATATAAATAGAGTTTTACTATATCAGATTCCACTGTAAGCAGTTGAGTGGTATATGCTTGCTGGAAGTTATTTATATTGTGATAGCTCTCAGAGGCCTCAATCATGGATTAGGGCCCATTGTGCTAAGTACTGTAGAAGTGCAGCACTGTACTATGTTATATTAACTTTTCAACAGTCCTACATACATTGAGGTCTTTCAAAGCCACCGAGAAGATCTGGTTGACAATTTTAAACTCTCACCCTTAGCATCCAATTCATCATTCCTTGCATACCTCTGCCTTGGTCTACACTAGGAGTTGAGGTCAAATTTAGCAGCGTTAAATCGATTTAACCCTGCACCCGTCCACACGACGAAGCCTTTTTTTTCGACTTAAAGGGCTCTTAAAATCGATTTCCTTACTCCACCCCTGACAAGGGGATTAGCGCTGAAATTGGCCTTGCCGGGTCGAATTTGGGTACTGTGGACACAATTAGACGGTATTGGCCTCCAGGAGCTATCCCAGAGTGCTCCATTGTGACCGCTCTGGACAGCACTCTCAACTCAGATGCACTGGCCAGGTAGACAGGAAAAGGCCCATGAACTTTTGAATTTCATTTTCCTGTTTGGCCAGCGTGGCAAGCTGCAGGTGAGGCCAGAGCTCATCAGCAGAGGTGACCATGATGGAGTTCCAGAATCGCAAAAGAGCTCCAGCATGGACCGAACGGGAGGTACGGGATCTGATCGCTGTTTGGGGAGAGGAATCCGTGCTATCAGAACTCCGTTCCAGTTTTCGAAATGCCAAAACATTTGTCAAAATCTTCCTAGGCATGAAGGACAGAGGCCATAACAGGGACCCGAAGCAGTGCCGCGTGAAACTTAAGGAGCTGAGGCAAGCCTACCAGAAAACCAGAGAGGCAAATGGCCACTCCGGCTCAGAGCCCAAAACATGCCGCTTCTATGACGAGCTGCATGCCATTTTAGGGGGTTCAGCCACCACTACCCCAGCTGTGTTGTTTGACTCCTTCAATGGAGATGGAGGCAACACGGAAGCAGGTTTTGGGGACGAGGAAGATGATGATGATGATGAGGTTGTAGATAGCTCACAGCAAGCAAGCGGAGAAACCGGTTTTCCCGACAGCCAAGAACTGTTTCTCACCCTGCACCTGAAGCCAGTACCCCCCGAACCCAGCCAAGGCTGCCTCCCGGACCCGCCAGGTGGAGAAGGGACCTCTGGTGAGCGTACCTTTTAAAATAGTATACATGGTTTAAAAGCAAACATGTTTAATGATTAATTTGCCCTGGAATTCGCGGCTCTCCTGGATGTAATCCCAAAGCCTTTGCAAAAGGTTTCTGGGGAGAGCAGCCTTATTCTGTCCACCATGGTAGGACACTTTACCACTCCAGGCCAGTAGCACGTACTCAGGAATCACTGTAGAACAAAGCATTGCAGTGTATGTTTGCTGACGTTCAAACAACATCGTTCTTTATCTCTCTGTGTTATCCTCAGGAGAGTGATAGAATTCATGGTCACCTGGTTGAAATAGGGTGCTTTTCTTAAGGGGACATTCAGAGGTGCCCCTTCCTGCTGGGCTGTTTGCCTGTAGCGGAACAGATATGTTCCCCACTGTTAGCCACGGGGAGGGGGGAGGGATGAGGGGCTAGCCACGCGGTGAGGGGAGGCAAAATGCGACCTTGGAACGAAAGCACATGTGCTATGTAGATAATGTTAACAGCAAGGTTTACCGTGAAAGAGTGTACTCATTGTTCTATAAAAAGTCTCTTTTTAAATACCACTGTCCTTTTTTTTTTCTCCACCAGCTGCATGTGTTTCAAGGATCACAGGATCTTCTCCTTCCCAGAGGCTAGCGAGGATTAGAAGGCAGAAAAAACCGCACTCGCGATGAAATGTTCTCTGAGCTCATGCTGTCCTCCCACACTTACAGAGCACAGACGAATGCATGGAGGCAGACAATGACAGAGTGCAGGAAAGCACAAAATGACCGGGAGGAGAGGTGGTGGGCTGAGGAGAGTAAGTGGCGGGCTGAAGAGAGGGCTGAAGCTGAAAGGTGGCGGCAGTGTGATGAGAGGAGGCAGGATTCAATGCTGAGGCTGCTGGAGGATCAAACTAATACGCTCCAGCATATGGCTGAGCTGCAGGAAAGGCAGCTGGAGCACAGACCGCCACTAAAGCCCCTTTGTAACCAACGGCCGCCCTCCCCAAGTTCCATAGCCTTCTCACCTAGACGCCCAAGAACGCGGTGGGGGGACCTCTGGCCACCCAGCCACTCCACCTCAGAGGATTGCCCAAGCAACAGAAGGCTGGCATTCAATAAGTTTTAAAGTTTTAAACTTTTCAAGTGCTGTGTGGCCTTGTCCTTCCCTCCTCCACCACCCCTCCTGGTGCTTCTCTCCTCCACCACCCCTCCTGGGCTACCTTGGTAGTTATCCCCCTGTTTGTGTGATGAATTCATAGATTCATAGATATTTAGGTCAGAAGGGACCATTATGATCATCTAGTCTGACTTCCTGTACAACGCAGGCCACAGAATTTCACCCACCACTCCTGCGAAAAACCTCTCACCTATGTCTGAGCTATTGAAGTCCTCAAATCGTGGTTTAAAGACTTCAAGGAGCAGAGAATCCTGCAGCAAGTGACCCGTGCCCCATGCTACAGAGGAAGGCGAAAAACCTCCAGGGCCTCTTCCAATCTGCCCTGGAGGAAAATTCTTTCCCCACCCCAAATATGGCAATCAGCTAAACCCTGAGCATATGGGCAAGATTCACCAGCCAGATACTACAGAAAATTCTTTCCTGGGTAACTCAAATCCCACCCCATCTAATATCCCATCACAGGCCATTGGGCCTATTTACCATGAATATTTAATTACCAAAACCATGTTATCCCATCATACCATCTCCTCCATAAACTTATCGAGTTTAATCTTAAAGCCAGATAGATCTTTTGCCCCCACTGTTTCCTTTGGAAGGCTATTCCAAAACTTCACTCCTCTGATGGTTAGAAACCTTCATGTAATTTCAAGTCTAAACTTCCTGGAGACCAGTTTATATCCATTTGTTCTTGTGTCCACATTGGTACTGAACTTAAATAATTAATAAAGAATGCATGAATGTGAAGCAACAATGACTTTACTGCCTCTGCAAGCGGTGATCGAAGGGAGGAGGGGAGGGTGGTTAGCTTACAGGGAAGTAGAGTGAACCAAGGGGCGGGGGGTTTCATCAAGGAGAAACAAACAGAACTTTCACACCGTAGCCTGGCCAGTCATGAAACTGGTTTTCAAAGCTTATCTGATGCGCACCACACCCTCCTGTGCTCTTCTAACTGCCCTGGTGTCTGGCTGTGCGTAATCAGCGGCCAGGTGATTTGCCTCAACCTCCTACCCCGCCATAAACGTCTCCCCCTTACTCTCACAGATATTGTACTGCGCACAGCAAGCAGTAATAAGAATGGGAATATTGGTTTTGCTGAGGTCTAACAGAATCAGTAAACTGCGCCAGCGCGCTTTTAAACATCCAAATGCACATTCTACCACCATTCTGCACTTGCTCAGCCTGTAGTTGAACAGCTCCTGACTACTGTCCAGGCTGCCTATGTATGGCTTCATGAGCCATGGCATTAAGGGGTAGGCTGGGTCCCCAAGGATAACTATAGGTATTTCAACATCCCCAACAGTTATTTTCTGGTCTGGGAAGAAAGTGCCTTCCTGCAACTTGTGAAACAGACCAGAGTTCCTGAAGATGCGAGCGTCATGTACCTTTCCCGGCCATCCCATGTTGATGTTGGTGAAACCTCCCTTGTGACCCACCAGTGCTTGCAGCACTATTAAAAGTACCCCTTGCGGTTTATGTACTTGCCGGCTTGGTGCTCCGGTGCCAAGATAGGGATACGGGTTCCGTCTATGGCCCCACCACAGTTAGGGAATCCCATTGCAGCAAAGCCATCCACTATGACCTGCACATTTCCAAGGGTCACTACGCTTGATATCAGCATATTAAAAGACAGTGCACTGCTAGTAGGACTGAATCGCCATGAAACAAAACTTAAAAGGGAAATGACTTGGCTGAATCACTCCCATGTTTGCCCAGGTGCCCCTGACCTCATCGAGGTCGGTTAAAAGAGCACCCTGGACTACGTTGACGACGGCTACCAGCCATACTGGACTGTCTGCTGCCAAAAGGCAATTTTGTGGAGCAATGCAGTACCGCGTCTGCCAGCACCCAGGAGACATACGGTGACAGTTAGCTGAGCGGGCTCCATGCTTGCTGTGGTATGGCGTCTGCACAGGTAACTCAAGAAAAAAGGTGCAAAACAACTGTCTGCCCTTGCTTTCACGGAGGGAGGGAGGGAGAGAAGGGGGGCCTGACGATACGTACCCAGAACCACCCGTGACAATGTTTTAGCCCCATCCGGCACTGGGATTTCTACCCAGAATTCAAATGTGCGGCGGAGACTGAGGGAACTGTGGGATAGCTACCCACAGTGCAACACTCTGGAAGTCGATGGTCGCCTTGGTACTGTGGACACACTCCGCCAACTACATGCACTTAGAGCATTTGTGTGGGGACACACACAATTGACTGTATAAAAACACTTTCTACAAAACTGACTTCTATAAATTTGACCTAATTTTGTAGTGTAGACATACCCTCTGAGTGTATTGGGAAGGCAAGGAATGCAGGACTGGGCTCTAAATTGGTAGTTCATGCTCCAACTATATCTTAAAGCATCTTTTTATTAGTTAGGCTACGATTTTATCACGGAGGTTGTGGAAGCCAGCGAAGGCACTGAGCACCCTGCAGGCGGCTGGGAGCTGCAGGGTACCACTGCCACCCGGGGAGACCAGGAGCCACAGGGTACCACTGCTACCCAAGGCAGTGGGCCCCCCCGAGCTCCAAGGTGGCGGGAGTACCCCGGAGCTACCGGCTATCACAGGTGGTGGGGGACCCTGCAGCTCCCAGCCACCACTGGCGACTGCGGGACCCCGCAGCTTCTCAGCCTAGGGGCGCTGGATGGCTCCCAGAGGCTGTGGTCAAGGGGAGACTCCACAGCTCCTGGCTGCCCCCCGCAGCTGGGGTGGGGGTACCCTGGAGCTCTGAGCCCCCATGGGTGGTGGGGGCCCCTGGAGCTCTCAGCCAGGCCCCTGGAGTTGCCCAGCAGCTCCTCATTTTCTGATGGATATTTTTAGTAAACATCAGGGACAGGTCACGGGCTTCTGTGAATTTTTCTTTATTGCCCATGACGTTTACTAAAAATATCCGTGAAAAAATCTTAGCCTTATTTATTAGTACTGTGGGAAATCAAGGCCCCAGTGAAGTGAGCTGCAAAAGGTCTATTTATTTCAATTATGGATGTAAATAGCGGTTAAAAAAAGTAACCGTGTAACCGATAAACATTTTATTGGTTACACAGTTAAACATTTAACTGGGTAACTAGTGGTGCAGGGGGTGCTGCAGCACGCCCATGTTTTACATGGGACCCCACTGCTGACCCCCATGCCCTGGGTCCTGGAGGCCAGCCCCATGCCTGGGACTCCGCTGCTGGCTGTGCGCCAGGGATCTCTCCTGGCTGCCACCCCCAGGGCAGCAGCGGAGTCCTGGGCTCCGGCCGGCAGCGGAGTTTAATCATTAACCATTAACCGAAACCGATAAGACTGATGCTTATTGGTTAACCAGTTAACCGGTTAATCTTTTACATCCCTAATTTCAATAGGAGGAGGCTTTCATGCATTATAATTTAAGGGTTCCAGTACAGACAATACTCTTCATAGGCCCCCTCCTGTGAAGTGCTGAGCACCTTTAACAAATGCTGGCATAAATGTGAGCGAAGGGACTGAGCACCTTGCAGGAGGGGGCCCCATAGCCTGTCTATTCCTATATGTGGAAGGATGAGAGATTATTACTCATTTCACACAATTAGAAATTTGGTTATAAAACACAATTTATGAAATTTTAAGCAAAATAAGCACATTCCTTGTTCCTACCTGTGTCCATCTCATCTACATTGCTGAGGAAATCTTCAGGTGTTGTTGGTATACTGTAGCATCCTAAGCCTAGGCCACTGTCTGTGCTCTGTTCCCTGGAATGGTATGGCCCACTATGAATTGAAACATGAAGAAGCCTCAGTAAAGATATTCTTGTCAGAAATAATCCCTGAGGGTGGTGGTTGAGAAAAGGAGAACAATAGTCCAAACACTAGACTTAAATACTTTGTTAGATGGGCACCATGTGTGGTCATTTGCACTAGTCCACAATAACAGAGAACCAGGCCCAACCTAGCTATCTTAGAAACTGCCAGGTAGGCATTTTCAGAGCAGTGCATAGGATTTGTGCACTGTCTTCCCCATACCATTTTGTATATATTTAGTCAGGCCTCAATCTGGCCTCCAGCACTGCAGAGACAATTTTGTTTCTGCAACTGCATCCATTTGGAGATTTAAACACATGACTTGTGAATGTAGTTAGGCTTTTACATGGGTGTAACCCTAAACATGAAACTCAGCCTACAATTGGAGGCCATTTTTATAAAGTTTAGAGCCAAATATCTAGTAGTTGCTGTAGAACCAGTTTTTATTTTGGAGGGAAAAAACCCAAAAACTTTCTCTAGATATAAAAACTGCATTCCAATAGTTCTGCAGTCTAAAAGAATAAAATCTACCTGTAATACTGTCTCTAACATACACTTACAGTACTACCCACCCAGCTATAACCCCCTCTACCTTATGCTTGGCTTTTTTCTTTTTTTTAAGGTCCTCTTCTGTCATCTGAAGCATAAACAAAGTTTTCATCTCATCTGGTCTCTCTCACTGGACAGTACTACTGTCCATATAATTTTCATCAAATAAATGTCTGAATGGTTAAGATGTGGCCAGTTCCTTCTTGAGACAACGCCTCTAAGTTTTCAGAGTTGCACTAGAATTTTGCCAATCCTTATAAAACTTTGGGAATTTAGGAGTTTGCTTGGGAAATGCATCTGCAAAACAATCTGTGCCACAGATAAAACAACAGAACCAAACAGTTGATGAAGAGGACATTAACTTGCCTGTTCAGGAAAGGATCCGATCCATTATTTGTAATAGTCCTGATGTCTTGTGTCATGGCAGGTGTGTTCACAGCAGTCTGAACTGGGGCCATAGTCTCTGATTCCATGGGAAGTTGTCTGCATAGTGCAGCTTCCTGAATAAAAATTAATAAATAACAGAGTAAGAAAAAAGGGAAAGTTACTCAAACATCTCAGAGACATGGCAGCACAGTGCCCTTACATCTGAAATACCCATTCTAATAAGAAGTGAGTCTACAATTCAATTGTTTTTACTTGGGAACTTGATTCCAAACACTATAATTCTGATTGCTGGTTTAAGAAGTCACCTACTGGCTACAGGGGCAGATATTCTCCAAAGCTACAGCCCATGACTAGGTCTTCACTGCAGAGTTAACCACACTGGAGTTGGCCTATATCAAGCGAACACTCATGCTGCGAAATAACACAGAGCTGCCCACAGCAACTGAATTAGTGCACAGCAATTGCATTAGCACCACAGAGTGACTGTGCGTGCAGCTGACAAAGCTGTACAGTCTTGAACTGTAGCCTACGTACTCCCCAATGAGCCAAACAACTCGAGTTAAAAGCATCACCACATTCGAGTGAAGGGGTTTTGTGTGTCAACAGGACATGAGTTAGGAGCCATGCCCAACTTATAACTTGAGTTAACTCTGTATTGAAGCCAAGCCCTTTGAAAGAATTAAGGCATGACTCAAAATGGCAATTATAACACTTTTTAAGAACCTGATTCTGATCTCACATTTGTTTTATAGCAGTGGAATTCCATTGATTTAATGGAATTATTCCTGATTTATTCTGGTACAAAAGAGATCAGAGTCAGGGGCTAAAAATAGACTGTCAACTACTAGACAGACTAATTTATTAGATCTTATAACAGAGCCATCTGGATGAGTAACAGAGTAGCTAAAACATTATCCAGGAATCAGGAATTTGACCCAACAATCTTTAGGGTGAACTGCCTATGTTGTTAATGATCTGTTTCATGTACATTGTACAGAAGGTGATAAATCAGTAATTAGAGCTGAAGCGAACATTTGAAACTTGTTTCTAAACTCTCTTTTTAAAAGACCAATCCAGAGAAACACCCTTGTAACTGGTTTCAGAGTAGCAGCCGTGTTAGTCTGTATTCGCAAAAAGAAAAGGAGTACTGACCTGTAGCTCACGAAAGCTTATGCTCAAATAAATTTGTTAGTCTCTAAGGTGCCACAAGTACTCCTACACTTGTAACTGTAACTGTATTTCTGTGGAACAACAGTGACATCTAATGGCAAAATGGACTATTACATAGGGTGTATTATTCGCTAGGGATGGCCCAAAGGAATACGTCTTCTATTCAGAGGTGTAAGAATCAATAAAGCCATATCGGTTATTCACCTCAATTACTAATTTAAAAAAAAATGAATTAAAGGAGCAGTTTCTATAAACCCTGGTAGAAAATCTTTCTCCACTCAACCACTTTCAGCCACTTTAATAGGAAAATATTTAACTCCTTCAATATGACTGTAACTGTTCCTACTACTACTGTTTTGAAATTAGATTAGTAAGGAAGACTTTATGAAAAGCTAAAATTAAGATTGTCTCAACTAATACCATAAGCATGATGTAACAGAATATTCAGAGTTTCTTTGCTCTAGGACCGGGGTAGGCAAACTTTTTGGCCTGGGGCCACATCTGGGTATGGAAATAGTATGGCAGGCCATGAATGCTCATGAAATTGTCGGTTGGGGTGAGGGCTCTGGCTGGGGGTGCAGGCTCTGGCTGAGGGTGCAGGCTCTCGGGTGGGGCCAGAAATGAGGAGTTCAGGGTGCAGGAGGGGGCTCCGAGCTGGGGCAGGGAGTTGGGGTGCAGGGGGGCAGGTGAGGCCTCTGGCTAGTGGTACGGGCTCTGGGGTGGGGCTGAGGATGAGGGGTTGGGGGTGCAGGAGGGTCCTCTGGGCTGGGACCAAGGGGTTCAGAGGGCGGGAGGGGGATCAGGGCTGGGGCAGGGGGTTGGGGTGCGGGAGCGGGGCAGCAGGGCAGGCTTCAGGCAGCACTTACCTCAAGCTGCTCCTGGAAGCAGCGGCATGTCCCCCCTCCAGCTCTACGCAGAGCCGCAGCCAGGCGGCTCAGCGTGCCGCCCCTGCAGCTCCCATTGGCCATAGTTCCCTGCCAATGGGAGCTGCGGGGGAGATGCTTGGGGCGGGGGCAGCATGTGGAGCCCCATGGCTGACCCTACGAATAGGAGCCAGAGGGGGGAAATGCCGCTGCTTCCAGAAGCCGTGCAAAGCATGTGCAAAGCAGGGCAAGCCCTGGACCCAGCTCCCTGGCCAACAGGAGCTCAAGGGGCGGATTAAAATGTCTGAAGGGCCGAATGTGGCCCCTGGGCCATAGTGTGCCCACCCCTGCCCTAAGGACAACTAACAACCCTTCTTTACTAGTGTTTGAGGAAAGCAGTCAGTCATGATCGCAATGAGGACCTTTTAGTGTTTTAAAGGGTAGTTAATGACGTTTATTGCTGTTTGCTCAGACCTCTAATCTCACATGATTATACTGTAAATTTCTCTTTACTTGAAGCCACATTTTCTCTTTACTTAGGGCCAAATTCTTTCCTCGCACATACACTTGCAACTTCCTTTAAAATCCAGGTCAGCTGAACATGTGTACCTGAGGGCAGAATTTATACCATGTGTTTTATTGTACCTGTAGCTTACTCTTCCAGTAATACTGGCCAATCTGGACTCTTCACTCGTAAGTGAGTAACTGTTACCTTAACACCATATTTTAAGACAGGCACTTAGTATTATGTTTCATTTCATTGTTAAGATATGAGTTGAGTATGCGAAGAGTAAACAGACTCAGAGCCTTTTTGTAATACCATGTCATCTTGTCTGCCATGCTAAAATTATTATAAAGCCTGCTGGGCAGTCTTCCGACTTACAATTCAAATCAGGTGGATGACAGCAGCAGATACACCTAAGTTCACTCTCATGTGAGTGACATACGTGACACTATTAAATCTGAATCCTAGAGCACTGTCAAATTTCTACTACTGCACCAAAGCTTATTCAAAAGGATTTTTTTAAAGCATAAAATATAAAGATCAACAAAAATAATCAAGCTGGGAGAATAATGGGGCAGAGGGAGGAAAGAAGAAGAAGAAGAACAAAAAAAGATGCAGATGGTTTGCTAGGATCTGTTTTGCTACAATGCAGTCTTTAAGCCATTCAAGGCCATATTTTAGCAATTTGGGCAATATGTTTTCCAGTCATAACTGAGGCCTTCATACATTATTAATTATAAGATTTTGGCATGGGGCAGAAAATACTGACTCAATATGGGAACTATTTATTCTGTTTGATGTAAAATAATTTTCAAGTAAGTTTAGCCAATACTCTAAAGTAGAACTGTGTCTGAGGCCAAACAACTAAATATTATGGCCAGGATGGTAGTATACTTCTCTCCCAGGCATTTGGGACCAAGTCCTATTCAGAATGGATGGCATCTTTTTACTGGCTCAGGCTTGTGTCACTGCTCTTGAGGTGTTCCCCCCAATCAAAGGAAGGGCAGAAGGCAATGGATGAAAAGCATAGGACATGACTTGCATGTAACTTATTTGGTCACTGCCAAGCAGAACGAAAACCAAATCACTTTTGATATCTATTTCTCAGGTAAAACACACAGGACAAAAAAGCAAACTTTGGGCCTGCTCCTGCTGTCACTGGGAATTTTCTCACTGGCTGCAATGAGATCAAGATTGGGACCTCATTGTGTACATCACCAAAAATAGTGAAGGTTTAAAAAGTGACATTTTTTAATTTGGTCACATTCATTACCTAAATTTTGTTCCTGCTGGATGTCATGCCAGCTTTTCAATTTCCAGAATGCAAAATAAGTTCATTGGAACTGTAAGGAATATCAGACTGAATAATCCTGTCTGTGCACAGGTGACTGGGAAACCTTCCTGTATGCAGCAGCCTGTACTCTCAAGGGACCACACTACATAAACCCAACATTTTAACAAGTTCTGGTGCCACTTGTAATAGCAGAAGTCCTTGAATATGACTAGAAATAGAGAAAAATGAATGTAGAAATAGACTGGTCTATAAAATATACTTTGCTGGAAAAGGTGATATTAGTGATGAACCAGCAATGACTGTGAGAATCTACCAATTATCTATCACAGGGAATCTGCATCACAGCCCAGCCAAAGAAAATCTACTCAGGTAAGAGTTATCCAGGTAACACGCTGGTTGAGGAGAAAGGCCATTAATGAAGTTAATGTTTGTGGACAATCAGTAGGTTGATGCACAGCAAGGGAGTTTTGAAACTCTTTTGATTAAAACTGTCAAATGCCTAGCAGGTATGCTATTCCGGTTTCCTGTGTTTCCTGTGTTTCTACAACAGGTAGTGACATACTGGCTGCTGAAAGCTCTCTCTAAGTAATTTTCCATAATTGTTCTCAAACACTGTCAAAGACATAGTTAATTCATAGTAGCTAGTAAATTCCATTACTCAGGAAGATGTCTTCACTCCACTAGTCTACCAAGTCATTGGGAAAGTGTTATGTTAAATCAAAACGATGGGCAGGAGGGAAGTGGGGGGAAGAAGACAAATAAGATTTTGAACAATCTGTACATACACTTACATAGACTCTGTTTTAAGTTAAATGGAGGATGGAGATAAATACCTTCTCTCTCTATGGAAGACTTTCTAATTAACCTATCCCAGGAATACTGAGGTACCTTCTTTTCCCATTTTCTGCCTTCTTCCATGAAGCCCCATATGATTGGAACTGCCTCCCTCCTCTCAAACACACCAAACAACCTGCACCTCATCCTTCAAGACCCTGATTCCCTTGGTACCTTTCCAGTGTTGCATTCTCCAAGGTTATGCAACGTGGCCACACATGAGATCAGCTGCTTGTTAAGGAAACGCAAAAGGGTCAAAAGAAAAGAAAAGCAACAGTCTAATTTGAGCTTGAGGCACCTATATAAATGGCTGTTGCTCCAAAGGCTGAGGAGAGAGGGGTTGCAGATGTAATCCAAGTCAATTCATCCTGAACCAGATGAAGTGTCAGGTTATTAATCTACAATCAGTAATGACAGTTGTGCTACTAATGCAGTTCTCTCAAGAAG